ATTCCAAGAGGTCATCGCAGTGGAATGAGGAGAAGTCCCTGAAGTTGGAGAGGTGGCAGTAAACCAGGCAGCCTTGGAAGGGTTAGAAATTACCAGAGATGAGGTTAAGAGGCATCTGTTGGATCTGGACGTGAGAAAGGCTGTTGGACCGGACGATATCTCACCATGGGGTACTGAAAGAGTGAGTGTAGAAGCACTTTGCTTGCCACTCTCCATAGTGTATAGTAGGTCACTGGAGACGGGAGACCTACCAGAAATATAAAAGGCAGCTAATGTAGTCCCAATATACAAAAGGGCGACGGAGAAGAGGCACTAAACATCAGATCATTGTTCCTAACTTTTATACCATGCAAAGTGATGGAGATCATGAGGAAAAACCTAGTAGCACATCTGGAGAGAAGGGACTTTGTAACACACCACAAACATATGGGTTAAGGGATGGCAATTCTTGCCTCACAGATTTAATAGAATTCTACGACCTGGTGACACCGATTAGGCAAGAAAGAGACGGGTGGGCACATTGTATTTTCTTTGACTGCTGTAAAGCCTTTGACACAGTACCCCAACCGTGCAGTTACCTTGCCATGATTTTGGGGCTCAACCTCCCTGTGGCCCGTCCTCAACCAGGCCACCTGGTTGCTGGACTGGTCAACCTGGCTGTTGGACGTGGTTGCTCGCAGCCTGATGTATGAATCACAGCCTGGTTGATCAGGTATCTTTTGGAGGTGCTTATCAAGTTCACTCTTGAATACTGCGAGTGGTCGGCCAATTCTGCCCCTTATGTTTAGTGGAAGCGTGTTGAACAGTCTCGGGCCTCTGATGTTGATAGAGTTCTCTCTCAGAGTACCTATTGCACTTCTTCTTATCAACGGAGGTATCCTGCACATCTTGCCATGCCTTCTGGTCTCATGTGGTGTTATTTCTGTGTGCAGGTTTGGGACCAGCCCTTCTAATATTTTCCACGTGCAAATTGTTATGTATTTCTCCCGCTTGCGCGCAAGAGAATACAGATTTCAGCATATTAGTCAGTCCCAATAGTTTAGATTTTTACTGAGTGAATTCTAGCAGTAAAGGATTTCCGCACGCTCTCCAGGTCAGATATTTCTCCAGCTTTGAAAGGGGCTGTGATTGTGTAACAGTTTCCACTCTAGACAGCACTAGTGTCTTGAAGAGTATCATCATCGGTATAGCATCTCAAGTTTGAAAAGTTCTAGTTATCCAACCTGTCAATTTTCTTGCAGCAGTGACGGTTACTTTATGGTGTTCTCTAAAGATAAGGTCTTCCGACATGAGTATACCCAAATTCTTTACTATGTTTTTTCGTTCTCAGGTATGATATGACTGTGTTTTGTTCGTGGTTTCTGTTTTTATATTTTCACTTTGTCCATAGCGCAGGAGCTGGAACATATCTTCATTAAATACCATTATTTTCTGTATCCAATTGAAAGACTTGTTTTACATCTGATTTGGAGGTTTGCTGTGTCCTCTATGTTGTCTACTCTCAAAAAGATCCTATTGTCATCTGCAAAGGATGATTCAATACTATAGTTTGTGTCCTTGTCTATGTCCGATATGAGGATGAGAAAGCATTCTGGAGCAAGCACAGTTCCCTGGGGGGACTGAGCTCTTCACGGGTATTTTGTTGACTATTACACATTGATTTCTGTTAGGCATAAAATTGTAGATCAATCTGCCTATTTTTCCGGTAATTCCTTTTGAACTCATATTGTGTGTAATAATACCATGGTCACATTTGTCGAAGGCTTTTGCGAAATCTGTGTAAATTACATCAGCGTTTTGTTTGTCTTCCATGGCATCAAAGGCCATGTCATAGTGGTCCAGCAACTGTGATAGGCAAGAGCGCCCTGTTTTGAAACCATGTTGTCCGGGGTTATGGAAAAGCTGTGATATCATGTATTTTGTGCTCTTACTTCTTAGCACTCTTTCAAAGATTTTTATGATGTGTGATGTTAGTGCTATCGGTGTGTAATTTTTTGCCTCTGTCTTATTTCCTCCTTTATGGAGTGGTGCTATCTCTGCTGCTTTTAGTATGTCAGGGATAACGCCAGTATCTAGGCTTTTATCTCCAAACAATGTGAAGGGCCTGCAATAGTGTTTTTTACAGTTATTGATGAATATAGTGTTCGAAGAATCGGGGCCTAGTGCAGAATGCATAGGCATACTGTCTCTGCCCTAGAAACACAAACTGTAACTGTCTATTTTATGCTTGTTACAACTTGTAATAAAGTTGTTACATCTTGGCTTAACATGTTTATGACGTATTAGAACGTTGTTACAACTTGTTATATTGGTTGTTATAACTGGTTAGGAGGGGTTAAAACTTGTTCGAACGTTGTAGCAACGTCTTAGTTTCGGTGTGTGATTGGCGGGTGGCTTCTTCAAAATCCAGTGGGGATAGGGTGACATCTGATATATGATTTGATGTTGATATCACATCCATGAAAAATTAATTTGGGTTATCAATCTTCAGTGTGTTTAGTGGCTCGCTGAAAATAGAGTCGTACTGATTCCTCAGTATTTCACTCATTTGTTTGTGGTCATCTGTGAAAGTTCCATCTCCCTTCTCCATTTCACACTAATGAAACAAACATAGGAATGTGCCTCAATGCCAACAGTGACTGCCCAGACAGGTACAAGAGGAGTGTTGTTAACACTTATGTCGACCGTGCTCTCAGCCACAGCTCAGGATGGAAGCAAGTCGATGAAGAACTCTGTAGGGTAAGGCAGGTCCTGACTGCTATGAATAGTACATAATTGCAATTACTTGTGGTGTTACATTTACCTCCCAATTTTTGGAGGACGGGCTGGTATGTATATATGTGTGTATATTTTGAGTTCTTACATTCTTGTAAAGTCACTAGCACGCATAGCATTTCGGGCTGGTCCTTAATGGTAATTTTCCCCAGGAACAGGAAGCGCCAAATTGTTTAACAATCAGGTACCCATTCACAGCTGGAAGAACAGAAGCGTGCATCAAAGGATCGGTTCCTAATCAATCCCCACCCCCTTCTCCTCCCCCTCCTCCCCCTTCAGGATACGAACCCAGGCCAAATCGCTCTTGAAGTGCCGGGCAAGTGTTTTACCACTAACCCATGGGGACTGCAATTACATTAAGTTATAATTACATTAAGCCTAGCATGTTGTCCACTGAGTGTAAACTGGTTGTTACCCACAGACGCTGTCCTGGCTCGCCACGCTAGTCTACTCGTCTGTTGACCTTAGCAAGAGTAACCTCCTCTCCATGCCGCACTCCGTCTCAAACTCCAGCCAGGTTAACGGGTTCCCTCGCGACCAACACACTGGTGACCTTGGTAATGGAGTTACTCATGGCATTCTGGATAAGGTCAGCCATGGTGCTGACAACAGGAATGAACACCACAACACAGTCAGCCATGGTGCTGACAACAGGAATGAACACCACAACATAGTCAGCCATGGTGCTGACAACAAGAACGAACACCACAACATAGTCAGCCATGGTGCTGACAACAGGAATGAACACCACCACATAGTTAGCCATGGTGCTGACAACAGGAATGAACACCACCACATAGTCAGCCCCAACATATCTCCAGGGACGGGTCGACCCAGGCTCTCATGCATTGATTTACCATTCACATTCCCGGTAAGTACTTGTCGTGTAGTTCACTGATGTTTATCTGGTGTTACAGTGTGCGAGTGTGGCCACAGCTGTAGTCACCAGGACAAGAGTAGTCACGTTTCTGAATGGGCTTCTAACATAATCTTTTCCGTCTCTACTCTTCACAAACGCCGTCTTGTCAAGTCAGCTTTGATACACAAGCTACCCAGCATAAACCTTAGTCCTGGCTTTGTTGTTGTTGACTCTTCCCTTTCACAGTGCTTCTTGAATGCTCCAACCTTCTCAACAAACGTCGACTGACTTAAGCTTTGCCTCCTTTGTCTTTCTTTCCTTTCTTTCTCTTACTTTTGTTTTCTCTTCGCTATTTGGCCTCTTGCAGTTTTTCCTTATATATTTTTCCTTCCTGTTTTTCTAGCTTTTCTAATTTTTTCCTTTTAATATTCTTTTTTTCATTACTTCTTACTTTTCCTTTACTTTACCTGATGTTCTTATTGTTTCATTTTCTCTTTCTTTCCTTTCATCTTATTCTTAGCTCTCTTCTTATTATTATGATCCTCTTATTCTAACTTTCATCTTACTCTAAATTTTCACAATCTTATTCTAATCTTTCATCTTAATTGTTCATTTCATCTTATTCTTTCCTTTAATCTTATTCTTTCCATTCATCTTATTCTTTTCTTTCATTTTATTCTTTCCATTCATCTTATTCTTATCTTTCATCTTATTCTTCCCTTTCATCTCATTCTTTCCAGTCATCTTATTCTTTTCTTTCATCTTATTTTTTTCCATTCATCTTTCCTTTCATCATATTCTTTCCATTCATCTTATTCTTACCTTTCATCTTATTCTTCCCTTTCATCTCATTCTTCCCTTTCATATTATTCTTTCCTTTCATATTATTATTTCATTTCATTTTATTCTTATCCTTCATCTAATTCTTACTGTGAGATTTTTTTCGTTTCCCCCAGACTGTTGTGCCTGCAGCAGCCACCATATGTTAGATATTAAGTCACTGCACATCCTCTCATGTGTACTCTATATATTTAAAACTCTGAACTACAATGTCAATCCTGACCTTAGAAGCTTCCTAGAAGGTTATAACAGAACTCATGGGTAACACACTAGAAACAAATACCTGTTTGACATTCCAAGAGTGCGACTTAATCAAACTAGAAATGCTTTACAAATCAAGGGACCCAGAATGTGGAATGACCTCCCTAATCATGTCAAAGACTGTACCTCTCTCAACCAGTTTAAGAGTAAAACCAAGTACTACCTAATTAACTCCATGTAACCTACCTTACCCCCTAAATGTCAACCCATGTCTTGTTATTTTTTAAACAACGCTGTTTGATCTCTAACTTGTACAATTGATGATTTCTGCCATGTTCCCCGCTTTTTTATTTTTATTCCTTTTTTTCAACACAATTTATACCTAATCCCAATTACTATTAAGTTTCAGTCTAAGTTTTTTCCACACCTTGCCCGAACGCTATGCGTATTAGTGGTTTTAGGTATTGTATGTACTAGCTCTATCTATAAACCCAACTTTATTTTTGTAAATCAACTATGTATGTACTTTTCCTGAATAAAGAATTTGATTTTGAATTTTAATTTGAATTTAGGAGCCCTCTGTAGGTAGACCCTCTGGCAAGAGCTAGAACTATTAGGTATTCAAGAAGTGGGTAGAGCATCAGGCCTCACTTTCTCAAGTATTCCCTGTCGAGTTACGACCCCTCAGAGAGTGGCCTCCTCAAGACAGAGGTAAACCTATAGGTTAGCGAGTCTCGTTGGTCGTACCATTCACTATGTGCATGAGGTGTACTGAATGGTGAAGGTTCACATCATTTTGTTTGAAAGTTGATGAGTGCTATCATGGGCTCATATAAATTAGGTAAAAGTGTAATTGATCAAGAACCAGGTCTAACGGACAGATGGTGTAACGTTTAGCAAGTTTGTTTACACCTTAATAACTAGTATAACACATGGGAATCCTTTACTTTTATTAAAAGTGTCACATCAATTAGGTATTCAAACCATACACAGCAGGAATCGTTTCCCACCGCTCTGGTATGACGATACTCGACTCTCTTGCTTGAGTTACACAAAGTGAACTAATCTGAACATTGGTGAACACATTTGCAATTATTGCTTTGCGACGCTTGCAGTATCAGAACAACAATAATAATGCTACAATAAATTTACAATTATACTTTTTTCACAGAGATAATAAATAAATAATGCTGGTGACAAATCCTACTCTGATATGTGTTTAATCAAGCATGCCAGGTCACCCTCAGGGAGACAAGACATGCTCTGAAGGTTTCCACTCACACTCAGACACGAGTGAGGTGATAAACACTTCACAATCTCGACCTGATCACTGAAAAATCATTGCAACTTTAATAAGTTGTTTGTTTCAAGTGTTGGATGATTACAGGTAATCACCACACGAGACAAACTCTCATAGTGTCACTCACTATTTCTCTAATTATATAACTGCCTGTTATTCTTTTACGTGTCATTGTATATGTTGTTTACATTTGTCCAAACAAATTAAGCTGAATTTTTGCAACAATTCACTCAATAAAATTGGTTAAAAATAGACTTTAAAATAGAAACGTTTTATACGCAGTCATGATAAAATATGTTCACTGTCACTGTTAAAATTCACAGTTAAATATTGTGTACACTGTATATAATTTTGCATAATTTAAATTTTTTTGCAAGTGTTGACGTTCTTTCGTCAGGAACTTCGCCTCGCCGTCATTGATGAGGTGAGCGAAGGGGCTGGTACTAACGCAGCAGGACCCCCACCAAGCCTAGTGTGCCCTCAGGACAAGATGACTGTTGCTCTCCTCACACGCACACCGCCACGTTTTGACGCAAACTACTGGACGAAGGAAGCAAATGTACGCACCAACAGCCTCTGGGCCTTTTGGCCGTACCTCACTTTCAACATGGATAATCAAGGCTTTACTTATGTATGCTATCCTACTTTTGTGTAATGTTTTCTAAGGAAATATCTTAACATACCTGCATGAAGGTTAAGGGTCCAGGACCCGAGAATTCGTTCTACAAAACAAAAATATAGGTAATTATGTGGAGGACAAGGTAAAAATATATTTTTTTTATAACAGTTTCTCATCTTGGATTAAAAAGTCATGGCACTATTTTTGAAGTCATATTCATCCTAGAGAAACTGTCACTTAGATAATTACAATTTATTGGCTGTGAGCGTAGAGACTTAAAGAAAAATACAGGCAACAATACTTTTCACTTTCCTGTTACAGATTTTTTGCCTTTTGTGTATGCTTATGTGAAGGTAATTATGCTAACATAAGAACGTAGGTAACGTAGGGTAACAATCAATAAGGTAACAACCACAAGCCGGATCTAAATCTTGCTGCAGAGACAATTTTCCATGGAATACTCTTTTACCAGGGACTCAGGATAAATTATTATATATTGTTTATCTGATTTATATTCTGGATAAATTTTTTATTTATTCTGCATATTATCTATTGTTGTGTATATGAATGGGTATATAAGTTAGAACTGGAAACTGGAATAAATTTTGTTACCTTCAAAGCTGGTCAAGGCATCGAACTCGCGCACGGGTTTACAGTTTTAAGTATACATAAGTTAAACACAGTTTGCATTACATAAAACAATCGTTCCAGTGTAAGTCTTTTTAGTTTTTGTGTTATCAAAATGTAAAAGGCTCCAGAAACGATACTTATGACTTGTGGGTCTGGAAAGTAGGGTGGTGGAGTCGGCTACTCTAGGTCGCAGTCATTAATATTGGCTTGAACGACATTAGACTTGTGTCTGGTGTTATGCTTCAGTCTTGCCACATCAGCATAACAAGTCCATGCAGTCTTAGTTTGTGGAGCATAAAGTTGTTTGCAAAGCCATTTTTTTTGTAAACACACTCGTATTCTCGTTAGCACATTCGGGTAGAGTGATTGTCAGCCGTGGTTGTTAAACTTGTTTTTCAGTGGTCTCCTGGATGGTGTTACTAAAACCGGAAAACCATTGTGTGGTACTTAAGGTTCTTACAATAACCATGGAATTTGTTCATATTAAACCAAATCAAATCAAATTCTTTATTCACAAATAATTGTGCATATATAATTGGAAAATTTACATACAAACTATAATACATCGTTACATAAGAATCACAATGACATCACGGCATGTGGACGTTGTCATTGCCAGAATTATAAACTTTATTCGTAACATCTGATGAGTAGTATGGTCGTCGTAACTTACTGTAACAACTGCTGAGTAGTATGGTCGTCGTAACTTACCGTAACATCTGCTGAGTAGTATGGTCGTCGTAACTTACTGTACCAACTGTTGAGTAGTATGGTTGTCGTAACTTACTGTACCAACTGTTGAGTAGTATGGTTGTCGTAACTTACTGTAACAACTGCAGAGTAGAATGGTTGTCGTAACTTACCGTAACAACTGTTGAGTAGTATGGTTGTCGTAACTTACCGTAACAACTGTTGAGTAGTATGGTTGTCGTAACTTACTGTAACAACTGCAGAGTAGTATGGTCGTCGTAACTTACTGTACCAACTGTTGAGTAGTATGGTTGTCGTAACTTACTGTACCAACTGTTGAGTAGTATGGTTGTCGTAACTTACTGTACCAACTGTTGAGTAGTATGGTTGTCGTAACTTACTGTAACAACTGCAGAGTAGTATGGTTGTCGTAACTTACTGTACCAACTGTTGAGTAGTATGGTTGTCGTAACTTACTGTACCAACTGTTGAGTAGTATGGTTGTCGTAACTTACTGTACCAACTGTTGAGTAGTATGGTTGTCGTAACTTACTGTACCAACTGTTGAGTAGTATGGTTGTCGTAACTTACCGTAACAACTGTTGAGTAGTATGGTCGTCGTAACTTACTGTACCAACTGTTGAGTAGTATGGTTGTCGTAACTTACTGTACCAACTGTTGAGTAGTATGGTTGTCGTAACTTACTGTACCAACTGTTGAGTAGTATGGTTGTCGTAACTTACTGTACCAACTGTTGAGTAGTATGGTTGTCGTAACTTACTGTACCAACTGCTGAGTAGTATGGTCGTCGTAACTTACCGTAACAACTGTTGAGTAGTATGGTTGTCATAAGTTACCGAACCAACTGTTAAGTAGCGAGTCGCCATAATACAGTCATTGTTGCACTGAATTAACAAGTGTTGACGGTGGGAGCCATTGATGGCGTAGACACCCCTCTCACTTTATGTTTGCTCTAAGCTTCCTCAAGTGGAATATTATTATCTATATAAATAAAAATGGAAATGATCGGTAGTTCAGAATCGCTAATCTCCGAAAGTTCTTTACCGATTGCTTTGAAATTTTCACACAATGTTCCATTCGCATCCGAGCAGGTTTTTATATACATACTATATACATGTCACGTCCCTGACGGGAAAAAACATGTTTTTCTTGAAAAACTGTGTTTTTCATGTGTGGGATTTATTCGAAACCCCTTTACCATTGCTTTAAAATTTTGACACAACGTTGTATTTGAATAGACACGTGTTTTTATATACCTACTATATACATGCCTCACCTGTGACAGGAAAAACTTGTTACAGAAACAAAAAAAACTTTTTTAGAAACAACGCTATCTGTTGCATGTAACAGCAACACACACGCTGTACTAAATATGTTACGATTCCATTTCAGTGTTTCCGATTGCATTGACAAATTGAATTTTCATAGATTTCTATTTATTTTGATTTTGATTTGATTATTTTGTGTGACATTGCATTGTAATTGAGCTGTGTTGTTTACCATACCGCTCATTTCGTGAGAATAAGTATAGATGCTACACCTGTGACTAGAAAAAACATGCTTTTTTTTAAGAAACAGCACCATCTGTTGCACGTAAGAGCAACACACACTATACTAAATGTTTTGCGATTTCATTTCACTGGTTCCGATTTCATTGATAAATTGAATTTTCATAGATTACGCTTTATTTTCATTTTGATTTAATTATTTTGTGTGACATTGCGTTGTAATTGAGCTGTGTTGCTTAACATACCGTTCATTTCATGTGTATAGTTTATTTTTTTTTATTAGTTCATTGTTTTTCATTTCGTTTTTTAATTGTTTTTCTTATATTTCAGTGATGGGAACATCAGATCATTTGATGATCCCAATTTTCTGATGGGAACATCAGATCATTTGGGAATACATTGGACGTGAGAGTGGGGATTGGTGGGGAGGACGAGGGGACGGGAGTGGGTGATAGAAGGGTGGACGAGGGGACAGAGGATGGGGGGGGATAATGGTGTGGAGGAGGACAAGGAGACTAGGGAGTTAGGGATGGTGGGGACGAGGGGGAATGGAGAATGATGATGAAGACAAAGGGACAGGGGGGTGGGAGATAATGTGGTGGACGATGAGACGGGAGAGGGGGAATGGTAGGGATGACGAGGGGATGGAGGAGTGGGGAATAGTTAGAAGGACGAGCGGACGTTGTAGTGGGGGATGGTTGGGAGGACAACGGGACGGGGGAGGGGGGGAAATGTTGGAGAGCTCGAGGGAACGGGGGAGTGGGGAATTGTTGGGAAAACCAGGGAATGGGGGAGTGAGGAATGGTTGGGATGACGATGGAACGAGGGAGGGGGGTGAATGGCGGGGTGGACTGGGAGACAGGGGAAGGTTGCTGTGGCTCAGCAATGCACATGTGTTTCTGAGCCACAGCAACGCGTGGCCGGGTACAGCTAGTTATTATTAAATGTGTAAACAAATTGAAAGGCTGCTATGATATCCTTGCTCCTTGCGCGGGACGGTCACTACCACTTTGTGAAAGAGAAAACATGCACTCTCTTGAACATTATAATGTAGAATGTTCCATATTGTCTGACTTTCGCCCTCCTGGGCTGATGTATGCTGAACTGTGTAATTACTATATGAGTACTAGAACACTTGATGATATATTGGACTTGTATCCAAGATTGACCATGTAATGTATCATTTATACAATGTATGTATGTGATGTAACTATATAACCTGAGCTTGTAAAAGCACCTTCATCACCTTCAGTGATTAAGTGCTTAATTGCACACTAGTTTCTCTGTCAGTTATCTCACCCTGTCAGAGTAAAAGAGACAAATGTATGTGAATGTATGTGTGTGTGTATATATGCATGTATACATGTATATGTACGTATATATGTACTCACCTAGTTGTGCTTGCGGGGGTTGAGCTCTGGCTCTTTGGTCCCGCCTCTCAACCGTCAATCAACAGGTGTACAGGTTCCTGAGCCTATTGGGCTCTATCATATCTACACTTGAAACTGTGTATGGAGTCAGCCTCCACCACATTGCTTCCTAATGCATTCCATTTGTCAACCACTCTGACACTAAAAAAGTTCTTTCTAATATCTCTGTGGCTCATTTGGGCACTCAGTTTCTTCCTGTGTCCCCTAGTGCGTGTGCCCCTTGTGTTAAATAGCCTGTCTTTATCAACCCTGTCGTTTCCCTTGAGAATCTTGAATGTGGTGATCATGTCCCCCCTAACTCTTCTGTCTTCCAACGAAGTGAGGTTCAGTTCCCGAAATCTCTCCTCGTAGCTCATACCTCTGAGCTCGGGTACTAGTCTGGTGGCAACCTGGTTGATACCTGGTTGATGGGGTTCTGGAAGTTCTTCTACTCCCCAAGCCCGGCCCGAGGCCAGGCTCGACTTGTGAGAGTTTGGTCCACCAGGCTGTTGCTTGGAGCGGCCCGCAGGGCCACGTACCCACCACAGCCCGGCTGATCCGGAACTTCTCTTAGAAAACCGTCCAGTTTTCTCTTGAAGATGTCCACGGTTGTTCCGGCAATATTTCTTATGCTCGCTGGGAGGACGTTGAACAACCGCGGACCCCTGATGTTTATACAGTGCTCTCTGATTGTGCCTATGGCACCTCTGCTCTTCACAGGTTCAATCTTGCATTTTCTTCCATATCGTTCACTCCAGTACGTTGTTATTTTACTGTGTAGATTTGGGACCTGACCCTCCAGTATTTTCCAGGTGTATATTATTTGGTATCTCTCTCGTCTCCTTTCTAGAGAGTACATTTGGAGAGCTTTGAGACGATCCCAATAATTTAGGTGTTTTATCTCGTCTATGCGTGCCGTATATGTTCTCTGTATTCCCTCTATTTCAGCAATCTCTCCTGCTCTGAAGGGGGAAGTGAGTACTGAGCAGTACTCGAGACGGGACAGCACAAGTGACTTGAAGAGTACAACCATTGTGATGGGATCCCTGGATTTGAAAGTTCTCGTAATCCATCCGATCATTTTTCTGGCTGACGCGATATTTGCTTGGTTATGCTCCCTAAACGTTAGATCGTCGGTCATCATTATTCCCAAATCCTTGACATGCTGTTTTCCTACTATGGGAAGATTCGATTGTGTTTTGTACCCTGTATTATGTTTCAGATCCTCATTTTTGCCGTACCTGAGTACCTGAAATTTATCACTGTTAAACATCATGTTATTTTCTGCTGCCCAATCAAAAACTTTGTTGACATCTGCTTGTAGTTTTTCAATGTCTTCAGCAGAGGTAATTTTCATGCTGATTTTTGTGTCATCTGCAAAGGACGACACGAAGCTGTGGCGTGTATTTTTGTCTATATCAGATATGAGAATAAGGAACAGTAGCGGTGCAAGGACTGTACCTTGAGGTACAGAGCTTTTAACATCGCTTGGACTCGATTTTATCTGATTGACTGTTACTCTTTGTGTTCTGTTCGACAGGAAATTGAGTATCCAGCGTCCTACTTTTCCAGTTATTCCCATTGACCTCATTTTGTGAGCTATCACCCCATGGTCACATTTGTCGAACGCCTTTGCAAAGTCTGTGTATACAACATCTGCATTTTGCTTTTCTTCTAGGGCTTCTGTGATTTTGTCATAGTGGTTGAGTAACTGTGACAGACAAGATCTTCCCGCTCTAAATCCATGTTGTCCTGGATTGTGCAATTCATTGTTTTCCATAAAACTAGAAATTTGATTCCTAATCACTCTTTCAAACACTTTTATTATGTGTGATGTTAGTGCAACTGGCCTATAATTTTTTGCCAAGGCTTTACTCCCCCCCTTGTGCAACGGAGCTATATCTGCAGATTTAAGTGCTGCTGGTATCTCCCCTGTATCCAGGCTCTTTCTCCATATCACGCTGAGTGCTCTCGCTACTGGTACTTTACATTTCTTTATGAATATTGAATTCCATGAGTCAGGCCCAGGAGCTGAGTGCATAGGCATATTATCAATTTCTCTTTCAAAGTCTTCCGAGTTTGTGGTAATATCCGTTATATTATGGCGAATTATGGTTTATAAAGGCAAACCTTTGAACCTTTTCCAGTTTAGTCTTATGCTTGATTAGATATGGACTCCATGCTGGAGCCGCATACTCCAGGATTGGTCTGACATATGTGGTATATAATGTTCTGAAAGATTCCTTACACAAGTTTCTAAAGGACGTTCTTATGTTAGCCAACCTGGCATATGCTGCTGATGTTATCCTCTTGATATGAGCTTCAGGGGACAGGTCTGGCGTGATATCAACCCCCGTGATATGTGTGTTTATGTATATGTATGTGTATAAAGTACATATGGAAGCTGATCAGAATTGCATTTTACCTTTGTAAATGCACATTAATGACACTTCGAACACTTTATGTAGGGCATACGTAAATCTGTGTATCTATGTATTTACGTATGTAGGTTAGCTTAGCATTTTAAAAGTACCGAATCACCTTCTGTGGTTGATTGTTCAATAAATCCCTGAACTATATGTTTAACTGATCTCTAACCCTGTCTATGGAGGACAGAAGAAAATGTATTTATGCTGGTTAGCATTGTAAATGTGTGGCCACGTTTGTGGTAAAAAAAAAAACTACCAGAGAGGAAGGAGCTCTTCAAATCGAGCATTGCCGAGATGTTAACTAGCCTTGCTTTGTCGTTGTGTTGACTGACCTTGTTTTGTCGTTGTGTGAGCTAGCCTAGTTTTGTTATGGTGTAAGCTGGCCTTGTTTTGTCGTGGTATGAGCCAGCCTTTTGTCATGAAATGAGCTAACCTTGTTTTGTCGTGGTGTGAGCTAGCCTTGTTTTCTCGTGGTGTGAGCTAGCCTTGTTTTGTCGTGGTGTAAGCTAGCCTTAGTTAGTCGTGGTGTGATCTAGCCTTATTTTCTCGTGGTGTGAGCTAGCCTAGTTTTGTTATGGTGTAAGCTGGCCTTGTTTTGTCGTGGTGTGAGCTAGCCTTGTTTTGTCGTGGTGTAAACTAGCCTTGTTTTGTCGTGGTGTAAACTAGCCTTGTTTTGTCGTGTTGTAAGCTAGCCTTGTTTTGTCGTGGTGTAAACTAGCCTTATTTTGTCGTGGTGCAAACTAGCCTTGTTTTGTCGTGTTGTAAGCTAGCCTTGTTTTGTCGTGGTGTAAACTAACCTTGTTTTGTCGTGGTGTAAACTAGCCTTGTTTTGTCGTGTTGTAAGCTAGCCTTGTTTTGTCGTGGTGTAAGCTAGCCTTATTTTGTCGTGGTGTGAGCTTGGCTTGTTTGTCATGGTGTGAGCTAGCCTTATTTTGTCGTGGTGTGAGCTAGCCTTGTTTTGTCGTGGTGTGAGCTTGGCTTGTTTGTCATGGTGTGAGCTAGCCTTATTTTGTCGTGGTGTGAGCTAGCCTTGTTTTGTCGTGGTGTGAGCTAGCCTTATTTTGTCGTGGTGTATGCTAGCCTTATTTTGTCGTGGTGTAAGCTAGCCTTATTTTGTCGTAGTGTGAGCTAGCCTTATTTTGTCGTGGTATAAGCTAGCCTTATTTTATCATTGTGTGAGCTAGGCTTGTTGTGTCGTGACGAGCTAAGCTTGTTGTGTCGTGGTTGGTGCTAGACTTGTTTTATCATGGTTTGAGCTAGGTTTGTTTTGTTGTTTTTTGAGTGAGGCTTATGAAAAGGATCACCTGCAACACTACCCTCCCTCTGCTACACTCGCACCCGTGCTACAACCCCTGCAACACTCCCCTCCCTCTGCTACACTCGCACCCGTGCTACAACCCCTGCAACACTCCCCTCCCTCTGCTACACTCGCACCCGTGCTACAACCCCTGCAACACCCCCCTGATACACACCCTAACCCCCCCCCCAACTACAAATACCAATACTGACAAAACTTTTAGTTATTGTTCTTGGCATTAAAACGATTGTAATCTTCAGAGGAAAACACCGGAGCACATGCTAATATATTGTTGCCTTCTCCTTGCAGCCGAGAGTAGAGGAGACACGCGAGGATAAGGATGGTGAGGAGAGCACGGAGAGAGAGAAGAGTGAAGATGAACAGATGGAGAACATGAGCAAGGTGTTGGCGGACGCCTCCAGGTCAGTGTGGCGGCCGCCCAGCCGTCCTCCTCACGTGTTGGTCATAGTTGTCACTGTAACATTATTATCACGCTCATTATGGCCACATTTATTGGTATTATTAATAGTATACATACACTGTAAGGGGTACCCGGCGGCGCCCGGGACTCTTCCCCATCTTTTACACTCTTTCTCCTCTCTTCTCCCTTCTCCCACACTTTGCCTCCCCTTAACCCCCCTCGTTCCCTCCCCTTGACCCCCACTCGTTCCCTCCCCTTGACCCCCCACTCGTTCCCTCCCCTTGACCCCTCGCTCGTTCCCTCCCCTTGACCCTCACTCGTTCCTTCCCCTTGACCCTCACTCGTTCCCTCCCCTTGACCCCCCCCACGGTCCCTCCCCTTGACCCCCCACGGTCCCTCCCCTTGACCCTCCACGGTCCCTCCCCTTGACCCCCCACGGTCCCTCCCCTTGACCTCCCACGGTTCCTCCCCTTGACCCCCCACGGTCCCTCCCCTTGACCCCCCACGGTCCCTCCCCTTGACCCCCCACGGTCCCTCCCCTTGACCCCCCACGGTCCCTCCCCTTGACCCTCCACGATCCCTCCCCTTGACCCCCCCCACGGTCCCTCCCCTTGACCCACCCCCTACGGTCCCTCCCCTTGACCTCCCCCCCCCCACGGTCCCTCCCCTTGACCCCCCACGGTCCCTCCCCTTGACCCCCCACGGTCCCTCCCCTTGACCCCCACGGTCCCTCCCCTTGACCCCCCACGGTCCCTCCCCTTGACCCCTCACGATCCCTCCCCTTGACCCCCCCACGGTCCCTCCCCTTGACCCCCCACGGTCCCTCCCCTTGACCCCCCACGGTCCCTCCCCTTGACCCCCACGGTCCCTCCCCTTGACCCCTCACGGTCCCTCCCCTTGACCCCTCACGATCCCTCCCCTTGACCCCCCACGGTCCTTCCCCTTGACCCCCCACGGTCCCTCCCCTTGACCCCCCACGGTCCCTCCCCTTGACCCCCCACGGTCCCTCCCCTTGACCCCCCACGGTCCCTCCCCTTGACCCCCACGGTCCCTCCCCTTGACCCCTCACGATCCCTCCCCTTGACCCCCCACGGTCCCTCCCCTTGACCCCCCACGGTCCCTCCCTTGACCCCTCTCGATCCCTCCCCTTGACCCCCCACGGTCCCTCCCCTTGACCCCCCACGGTCCCTCCCCTTGACCCCCCACGGTCCCTCCCCTTGACCCCCACGGTCCCTCCCCTTGACCCCTCACGGTCCCTCCCCTTGACCCCCCACGGTCCCTCCCCTTGACCCCACACGGTCCCTCCCCTTGACCCTCCACGGTCCCTCCCCTTGACCCCCCACGGTCCCTCCCCTTGACCCCCCACGGTCCCTCCCCTTGACCCCTCACGGTCCCTCCCCTTGACCCCCCACGGTCCCTCCCCTTGACCCCTCACGGTCCCTCCCCTTGACCCCCCACGGTCCCTCCCCTTAACCCCTCACGGTCCCTCCCCTTGACCCCCACGGTCCCTCCCCTTGACCCCCCACGGTCCCTCCCCTTGACCCCTCACGGTCCCTCCCCTTGACCCCCCACGGTCCCTCCCCTTGACCCCCCATGGTCCCTCCCCTTGACCCCCCATGGTCCCTCCCCTTGACCCCCACGGTCCCTCCCCTTGACCCCCCACGGTCCCTCCCCTTGACCCCCCACTTGGTCCCTCCCCTTGACCACTCGTTGCCTCTATTCGTTACCTTCTTGGATGTATGGTTGTTGCTGGAGTGTAGAGAATACACAGTAGATCACTTCAGCAGTGTATTGGGTTAGGTAACAAGTTATATATCTGGCCTGCCGAGGTCCTACCTAACTCTGGTCTCGTGAGATACTGAGGCCGGCCTCGAGAAAGGAAAGTGCCGGCTCTGAAGGGAATGACGTCAGAGGCCTACTCGCCTGTGATTGGGTATGTCCCAACCGTCACACAATTTGAGTACTAACACCGCTCGGACACACTACGAAGTCGACGTCCTTTAAACTCTGGCTAACTAGATAGTTACAATGATACTGAAAGGACCTCAGTGGCATTTGTTAATGGCTTACAAGGGAAACTTCATAATAAACATTAAAGGAAGATCAGGAGTGAGGGATACTAACACTCTCGGCAAGTGCACAAAAATAAAATTTGAACATATTAGGGTAAAAATCATGGTAACTATGCTTTAATTACACACGAGCATTAAGAACATGTTTATGTCTAATTATCAGATGTGTTAATGTGTTACCAGAGCACTATACAACTCTGGCTCTGACTGAACGTCAGGAACAGATGAAACTGCATGTGACAAACTATCATCTTGAGAGGTAAACTCGGTAACATCTAGCCAATGGACATGTGGTGAGTGCACGGTTGAAACGAGAGGTCTAGATCTAAGATTATAGGTGCTAGTATGGGGTGGTTGTACATCAAGTGGTCTGTCAACCACAGTAGGTGGTTCCCAATAGAAGAATCTGTCTGGGTAAGTTCATTCTCATCTTCCTCATCAGTCTCGTCAACAGTCAACGGTAAAAATTAGGATCTTACACATAATACAGGGTACAAAACACAATCAAATGTGCCCATAGAAGGAAAACAACATGTCAAGCATTTGGGAATAATGATGTCTGACGACCTAACGTTTAGGGAGCATAACCAAGCAAATATTGCGTCAGCTAGAAAAATGATAGGATGGATTACGAGAACTTTCAAATCCAGGGATCCCATCACAATGGTTGTACTCTTCAAGTCCTGTCTTGAGTATTGCTCAGTACTCACTTCCCTCTTCAGAGCACGAGAGATTGCTTAAAAAGAGGGAATACAGGGAACATATACGGCACGCATAGACGCGATAAAGCCCCTAAATTATTGGGATCATCTCAAAGCCCTCCAAATGTACTCACTAGAAAGAAGACGAGAGAGATATCAAGTAATATACATGTGGAAGATACTGGAGGGCCAAGTACCAAATCTACACAATAAAATAACAATGTACTGGAATGAACGAAATGGAAGAAAATGTAGAACAGAACCAGTGAAGAGCAGGGGTGCCATAGGCACAATCAGAGAACACTGTATAAACATCAGAGGTCCACAGTTGTTCAACACCCTCCCAGCGAGCATAAGAAATATTGCCGGAACAACCATGGACATCTTCAAGAGGAAACTAGATTGTTTCTTCCAAGGAGTGCCAGACCAACCTGGCTGTGGTGGGTATGTGGGCCTGTGGGCCGCTCCAAGCAACAGCCTAGTGGACCAAACTCTCACAAGTCAAGCTTGGCCTTGGGCCGGGCTTGGTGAGTAGAAGAACTTCCAGAATCCCATCAACCAGGTAAGTCATTTTAGCTAATTTCATATGGTCTAAATGTTCATTTATATACTCTCCTGTTAACAAATTCTTAAGTCTGTACTTGTTACCTTTGATAAACTCGATTACCTTATGTGGACCCAAAAATTTCTTAGCTTGTACATAGGGCCAGACATGTGTTGGTTAAGTACCATTACTACAGAACCGATAGTTATCTTACTGGTTTTAGCTCGTGCATTCTTTGCTCGAGTGAACTCAGCTATAGCCTTCGACAGTTGTTCTCGTATTTTCTTGAAAACTAGTTGCATTTGTCTACGCTTAGTTGAACAAAATCATCTACATTATACAAAAGAGTAGGGGGGTACATTAGTCAATTCATTAGGGAGGATCTTATCTGTTCCATAAAGAATAGTGTGAGGAGTGTCGCCTGTAGAAACATTAATTGAAGAATTAATGGCACACTGAATTAAGGATATGAATTCATCCCAATTACTGTTATCAAAATTCAACTTGACTCTCAAGGCATCTAATACTTTCTTGTTAGTACTCTCTGCTAACCCATTACTTGCTGGGTGATATGGCATAATACTACATTTTTTAATGTTATATAAATCGCACAAGCTAGTTAAAATACTATTACTGAATTCTGGACCATTATCTGAAAGGATTACTTTAGGCATACTATATCTACAAATTATTTGGTCATGGAATGCACTGGCTATAGTTTCTGCTGTTTTGTTCAGGATAGAAACTAGTTCGCAATACCGTGAAAAATTAAAAAAAAGATCAACCATTACAAGCAAGTATTTGTTCCCTTTTTCTGTTTTTGCAAAATTTGTCAACAAATCCATTGATACTCGTTCCCAAGGAGCTTTAGTTGCTGGTACACATGAATTAGATTATGTCCTGCTACATGATCCTTGTGCTGTAAGCAGGTTAATTATATGTCAACATAATGAGCAATCTCCTTAGCCATTTTTGGCCAAAAATACTTCAATCGACCTTGCTGGAGTGTAAGATCCTTTCCTGGATGTGCAATTGTAGGAGCATCATGGATCATTTTTAACACAGTATCAAGACAGCTGGAACAACTAACTTACATTTCCTCAGGGCTGTCCCTAGCTTTACTACTCTACACAGTAAATTATCTAACATCACTAACTCTTTCAATGGTACTGGAGGTTTGTGAATCAGGCGAGTATCTTGCTTAGTCAAAAACTTAATGACGGGTGCCCATATGGGGTCTTGTCTCTGTTCCGTCTCGACTACTGTAGCATCTAATGCTGTGTAATTTAACTGAATTGTAGCTACATGTCAAGAAAATGCATCGGCTACAACATTTTGCTTTCCTGGAATATAACTAAAGGTGGGATTGAACTCTTGAATTGTAAGCAAATATCTAGCAAACTTTCCCACAGGATTCTTATTTTTGAACAAAGAAATTAATGGTTGGTGATCTGTAAGAACATGAATTGGGTAATTATAAATTGTATCCCTGAAATATTTAAGAGCCCAAACAACTGCTAAAGCTTAACGTTCTGTTGCACTATAATTTTTCTCTTCTTTAGATAATGTACGGCTAGCATAAGCTATTGCGTGATCTCTGTGACCTTCTGTTTGAAGTAATGCAGCACCTAGACCTATGTCGCTAGCATCTGTAACCAACATAAAAGGTTTAGAAAAATATGGG